CAAGCTCACAAGCCAAGAGGAAAGGCGCCTGGGTAACAACAACCTTCGAACCTCTGTACCTGTCCCCTTGGATTCAGGACAAAGGAGGAAGATGCTTCTGCAAACTACAACGCCTACCAGCTGCCTACCAGCTGCCCCCCAGCATCCCCGCACCTCCTTACCTCCCACTCCCGGCAGCAGGCTCGGAGCTGTACCAGCCAGTCGGGCTCCAGCATCTGGTCCTGTTCTGGCATCTCCAGGAGCAGCGGGTCGGACAGCTTCAGCCGCTCGGCGAGCTGCAGAGCCAGGAATGCAATGGGGCTCATCACACATCTCGGCTCCGTGGGGGAGAGACCAACCCTCCCAGCACGTTGACGCGAGCACACGGGCCCGGGGAAAAATAGCACCAGAGCTGCACTTCATAATACGGGGGTTAAAGTACCTCCAGCCTCTTGTGCAAGATTTATTCCATCTCCTGCATTGCTGCGGAGAGATGCTGGCCCGTCCCGTGCCCCGCAGAGAGCCTCCCAGCAGGGCTATCTCAGCCATCTCCGCAGAGACGTCAAAGTACCGATGTCAAAGATGCTCTTCACATCAGAGAGGCAGGTAACTATTACCATCCTTTTCTCCTCCGAGGTAAACGCGCACCTTTAATCCCACTTGACAGTCAGCCCGGGGCACCAGTGGCTTTGCAGGACAGCCCAGCAGGAGCTCCGGGAACAGCTCAGCTCCCAGGGCTGGGCACCAGCCCCGTACCTACCCCACAGGACGGATAGGAGCCGGGAGGGTTTGAGCTAAGGGCTCACCCTGCCATTTCCTCGCCCAGCTTTGCAACAAGCGTTATCATCACTAATAACCACACAGAAAACAAATACAGGGCTGGGAGGGACCCTGTGAGGTTAGACGCATCTGGCAATGCTCATGAAAATCCTGTGTGCCCACATCAGCCCGTGTTTGTCTGATTTGCACTTACAAATCTCCAAGGAGAAGATTTCACAGCCTCACAGGCCTGTCCTGATGCTTAATGTCCTTAGAGCTAAAGAGTTTTTTCTTAATATCTAAGCGAAATCTTCCCTGCCGCAAATTAAGCCTCTCTATTCCTGCGCCGGCAGAAGCTGTGGGGACAGTCAGGCACCATCCCCTGAAAAGCAGCCTCCCGCATGCCGGAGGGCTGTTATCACATCCCCCACAACCCCCCAGCATATCTTGCCTAGCAAAAAAAAATAACCCCAAGGCCTTCTTCAGAGGTCGTTTTCCCCTCAATCTCTTATCACCCCTGCTCTTCTCTCCTGCACTTGCTCCAATTTGGCCCTGGCTCCAAGTGCAGCATGCCGAACGGGGCACAGTGCCCCAGCCAAGACCCGAGCATGGGGGATTATCACCTCCTTGTCTAACACATACATTTTTGCTTTCATAGCCCAGAATAACATTATAACATTGGATTTTTTTTCTTCTTTTTTTTTTTTTTGCAACAGCATCCTGTTATGTTGCTGCTTGGTATTTTTTCCATGCTCCACTATCTCCCCCAGGTCCCTCTCTGCAGTATTGCTGCTGCGTGTTTAATTTCTCCTGCAAGAGAGGGGTCCGTGCCGCCCTGGCTGCAGCCTTCTCAGTGACATGGGGCTCCAGCAACTGTCAACAGAGCAGGAGGCTCTTCTGAGGTGACCAACCCACCGGCCCAGGGTGTGACGGAGGGCTCCCTGCAGAGCTAAATCAGTCTGAACAAATCGCTCAGACAAGGGTCCTGTTTTAAGACAGCTGGATGCTGGGGAGATGACAGTCACCTAAAGCACCGATCTTCATCCACGCCTTCACTGAATTTTCTCTTGCTGGTATCGACCCACTTCTTGGGAATTTATCAAGCTCCCTCGCGCTCATTTATCTTCCATGCTTTGCTAAGAGGCTGCCTCATCAAGGGCCACCAAAAGCCGTGCAGAGGTGACTTTGCAGCTCAGCCACCCTTCGCAGCCACACAGATCTCTGCTACCCCCGCCGCCCCAGCCCACATAGGCTGTTGCTTCCTATTCCCAAAATTGTTCAAAACAATCTAAATTAGCACAAAATACACTTCCCACCTCCAGGAGGTTACAGTGAGACACGACCCATGCAGCCAGAGCCTGGCTCGGGACAGGGACCAGCCACAACGAGCAGAGTAATCCAGCCAGGAGCTTGCATTACCAGACCCCACCATCCCAACTCTTTGCAAACACACATGCGTTCATCCTAAATCAATCGCAGGAAAGAGGAAATTATAAGCATGATTACCCCTAAACGGGGGGAATGCTTAATCCAAAAGCTAATGTGCACTTTGATCCAATATTAATGAATCAGCACCTGGTTGTATATCGTCCCCAGCTTCAAAAGAGGGGAAGTCTTAATCAAACACTAGTGTGTATCATAATTTGTAACACAGTCTAAAACATCAAAGACAAGAGTGTCTATGAATGCACTAGTTTTTCACATGAAAGTGTTTTCTCCCGGGAGAAGCATTATCCCCAGCAGAACGGTAGATCTGAGAGACTGTTAGACACTAAATAGGTTTCGACGATGGGGCGGAGGGGCTGCGCCAGCTGGGTTTTGGGCAATTTCTACAGCACCTGCTTCAGACAAGCATCCCTGCTGCCACTCATCTCGCAGCACCGCAGCTTTTGCCCCCTTCCCGATGGAGGAAGGCTTCGAGCAGCCTCAGCACTGCCCCAGTGACGCACATGGAGCGAGCAGATCCACTCTCCCGAGAGCCCAACCTGCTCAGGGACCTGGGACACTTTGCTTCTCCCCTCCCTGCCCCAGCACCCTGCTCATGAAGCGAGGGGCTGGACTCAGGGTTACCAGCCGGGACTCGCTCCTGTTCACTGTCACCCCAAAAGAGCCCCCGACAGGGAAATGCAACCATGGGATGATGTGCTGGAGGGGAAATGTCAGACACACTTCAGCTTCTTAAGTCTGTTCCATTTACAAGTTCAAAAAGCCCCTCCAGAATAGAAAACATCCTTTGCTTCCAAATAACTCTGCTCCTACTTGGCAGTCAACACAATTCCTTTGTTTTTTACCCTAAATCCATGGGTATTAGAGACCCTGCGGAGGTGTTGGCTTTGCCATGCTCAGCACATGCCAGGCAGCAAGCCAGGCAGCAAACCCTGGGGAGGGCTGCTCAGAGCTGCCAAGCACCCTCAAAGCCAGAAACACTGAGGATGCTCCCCAACGCACTGGGTTCTGAATGCGTACCACCATGAAGAGGGGTACAGGACTCACCTTCATCACTTGCTGGGCCAGGACGGGGTGGCTGGCCGGATCCTGACCCAGGAGCGCAGTGGCAATCTGCTCGCAGTATTGCAGGGCCTGGGCTGGGAGCCCATAGTCGGCCAGGCGAGAGGCGTAGAGGAGCTTATACACCTTGGGAGAGGGAAGCAGAGCAGACGTAGGTGGGTGAGGAGATGCTCGTGCCCGCGAGTCCCCTCTGCCCTGGTGCTGGGACATCATCCCAGCGTGACTCAGGGCACCCTGGGTCATGGGTCTCATCACCCAGAGGTCACCTGCAACCTGGGGACACCCCACCCATCCCCATGGGACAGCGTGGCCACGCTCCCCAAACCATGGTGCTGTTGTGAGGCCAGCCCACCATCTTCATTTATTCGTCTGATTTGTGCAGCGCCCGAGGCAGCAGCAGCCAGGTGCTTATTTGCCATACGAAAAGCATATCCAATACCCAGGGAGCAGGAGGGGAGCCAGACCTGAGCAAGCACCGATCAAACACACCGTGCCCCAAAACCTGCCCCTCAGCTGGGGCAGCCTCCCCATCACTCCCCAAGCCCAGCGAGGGGACAAGCCCTGGAGAACAGCCCGAATCCCTGGCGTCAGGGGGACGGATGCATGTTTGAGCTGCTGCACCAGATGCGTTTGTGCATCTCCGCTACCTGGAAGGGGAGCAGGAAGGATTTGGGCTGTTGTAGCTGCTGACAGTACTCGAAGATTTCCATCCGCTGGATGACCTCCGTCCTGGCAAACTGGGCGAACGCCTGACTGCAAAGGAGAGGGATAGGTTCAGCAAGCAGGAGCAGAGCTCTCCCCAGAGAGCCCCATACACAGATTCCCAGCTCCACCACTGTGCCAGCTTGCAGCTGGAGAGGCCCAGAGCAAAGCTCACATTAAGAGCAGTAAAAACCCATAAAACAGGGATTGCTTTTGCATAAAAGTGAGATCCCAGGGATGAGGAGAAGGTGAGACACATCACTGGCAAGAGCACCACCTCCTGGGCTTGCTCACCGGTGGTTGCTGCCCAGCAGAGCCATGCGGTCTGCCTTCGCCCCAAAGTAACCGAAAGGAATATCTGCCATCAGGTAGCAGAAATGAGCTGCTTCAACTGCTCCCCTGCCAGCTGGATGGGAGGAAAAAAGACAAACGCTTAATCCTGAGAGAGAGGTCACTACGTGGTCAGCATTGCTTTGGAGGCTCCCAAGCTCACATGAAAACCCAAATCCAACCACCCCACTTTCTTCCCTGTCCACGCAGACCCTGATCCCTCCCTTCTCCCTGTTTTTTTGTCTGTTTTCCCCGATTGCTGCTTTCCGTACCTAGGAAGGGATTTCCGTTCAATGGTAGGACCAGGGGAACCTGAGCAGGGTCCAACTCTAGCTTCAACTCTGTAGGGTGCCATTATTGGCATGAAATCCCCGAAAGTCCCCACCACCGGGAGCAAGTCTCAGTCCCTGCAGTTACATACGCCCTCCCTGGGTCCAGCCACTCCAGGTGTCTCCAAAAGAGCAGCTAATGGATGTGCCTGAGCCTGACTCATCTGCCAGCACGAAGGGCAGCAGGACCCATCAACACCTCATCCCTGCCACCGCACAGGCACTGCAGCTCCGGGGGTACAGGCATGCACACCCCATCTCGGCACCAACGTACATCCATGCTGGCATGGACATGCACGGTGACATTGCAGATGTCCACCCACTATTACAAGACAGCAGGAACATAACCGCTCACAACAGCCTTGGCTCACCTAAAGTGTCTCCCATGGTGACAATAGCTCGGTGGTTCAGCTCCATGTCTCCAACCTTGTTGGACAACATCACAGCCAGGTGGGGCCTCCAGTCTCCCCACGTGGCATCCCCGCAGCACTGGAGGGAGACAAGAGGAGAGCGAAAGTGAGCAGAGATGGTCACCACAAGGTGGGTGTCACAGGCAGGTGACAGCACAGGGGTACACATGCCGGGGTCAGCCTCTTGCTCACGGACCAGCGCTGCCTGAGGGATCCTTCCCGACATGAGCTGGAAGAGGGTCTGCAGGGGATCATTGGTGGCCAGCGTGCTGGTGAACCTGTGAGGAGACAGCTGAAATAGGGCTGCCGTGCCAGGACCCCAAACCCTCATTCACCTCCAAGGGCACATCCCAAATGCCCCAGGAAAGCAGTGTCCTGAGGAGCTTCCCAGAGAAAGCAGAAAAGATCATCAGGCTGATGATCTGCATTACCTCCAGAGCAGGCAAGTCTCCAGGACAATGCTGGATAAAACCTCCTCAAAAAGGATTCAGGTTGCACAAGACAAAATTTCTGCTTAACTCTCCCTGAAGGGATCAACCCAATCCAAACTAAGTACGTTAATTCCACCAGAAAATGTTCCTATGAGTGGGATGAACAGCTCAGACTGGATGACGGTGAAGATGGCCCAGGCCCCCCCTTACCCCGACGGCTGCTTTCGCTAGGGCAGCAAGGGCAAAGCCAAAGACTCAGAATAAATCCACCCCACATCTCCAGGGAACGGCTTTCCTTCTGCTTTCCAGCCCCCACTTGGTTTCTCTTGCCCATCAGGAAGCCCAAAGGACTCAGGCCCATCCAGATGGATGCCCCCTCTCCCCTTTGCCCCCTCTCAAAGGGTCCAGCTGAAATCAATGCTCTTTTTCCAGTGCTCTGGGGCTGGATGGCACCAGAAGGGATAACAGGCTTGGCAAAGCTAGTCACAGAGCATCGTACCTCACTTTAGCTTCTCCAACTTACCCGGTGAGCACCCAGCTGTAGGTCCGAGGGTCCATCTTGCTGGAGAGGAAGAGGGCATGGCCCCACAGCTGGTTTCTCATGGCCCAGACCAGAGCATCCTGCAGCCACGGTGGAGAAAAAGGGTTTGCACTAACTCTGCTTCCCTGCCCAACTCCACTGCCAGGGGACCCTCTGCTCACCCAGCTCAGAGAGCCCCAATAACTGCTCTGTCTTTAACTAATACCCTTCAAAACACTCTTCCATGTTCACAAAGGCCCCTTTATCTTTCTACCTTGCACAATGACAAGAACTGGGACCTTCACAGCAATATTATCTTTCCTGGATTTCGAGGTCTATGCTGCCTGTTAGCTCTCTGCCACTGCTGTGGGATCCCGGCCTGGGCACCCAAGCTTCTCTGCATCCAACCCTCCTCTCTCCGTGTGCCTTTGGTATCCCTTGAGATCACACAGCTGCAACTAACCCCACAGTGCTGGTAAAAGCCTCTGCATCTTGTCTTCACTTGGGGCCCCATCCCAATTCCCAATGGTGGGAAATCACTGCCATAAGCCCTGTTGTACAAACGCAACTTGAAGGGTTGATCCCACAACCGCAAGGCACCTCTTGACCACTCTTCCCTTCAAAACCTGCCTGAAGAGGCCAAAGGGGCCAAGAAAAAAAAAGTCAGCCCTGTGTCCTGGATCCCGCTCACCACTTACTTTCTTCCTGCCATAGTAGAGGAGCTTGGTGAACTTCTCCACTATCTGTGCTTGGGTCTCCACAACAGGAGGGACCTCCCCTGTGATGAGGTCCAGTGTCCCCGGCTGACGAGACATCCATTCATCATCTGTCAGGCCGATCAGGTTTACCGCAGGGTTTTGCCTCTTGTACTTTTCCCGGTGCCTGCAGTCTTGCATCAGCAGCTCAGCCGTGTCTGAGCCCACCATGGACTGTGAAAGGGGAGAAGGGAGGCCCATGGAGGCTGCCCCATGAGCAAAGGCTGACAGCATTTCCAGTCCGACACCCTTACACTTGTATCCTCATCCTAGCACATCTCCCCAACACCACCAGCCTTGACCACCACCACGCAGTTTTGGAGGGCAAAAGATTCAGCACAACTAGCAAGACCCATCACAGCACTCACTCTGAAGATCTTATTCATCTGCTTCCAACAAGAAGCCACAGATTAGATCGGGTGGATTTCATTGGGTTAAGGGAATAATCCCCTTTTAAGCATAAGTCCTGGCTCCTTGATGAAGGTGGCACCAGTCCCTTTCACAGCGGCTATAGCATTGGGTTGTTGGTAGTTTACAAGGATGAAAAGCAATCACAGAGAAGGGTTTGCTCCAAATATCCAGGCAGCATCAAACTGACTGATAGTACTATGGGAATGGGATGCTTTTAAGGTACACACCCCACCCCACCCCCCACCCCCCCGAAAATAGCAACTGGATCAAGCGGCACTTAAGGGACATATAACTTGTCTCACTTCTAAGATCAAAAGGGTCAGCCCCTTCCACAGGACACCTACCCCATTCTGCCGGCAGAGGAGGACCAGGAGTTTCCAGAGAAGAGATGAATCTCTGCCTTTCTGTGTTGAGAGATCACAGCTCGTGGCTATCTTCTGCTGGCAAAATGTCATCACATCCACTTTGTGCAGATCTTCCCTAGAGCAGCAAAGAAAGGCATCAAAAGAAATCCAAGGCAAAGCAATCTAGGACATCATTCAGACTCAAAGCATCCCCAGGTTCACTGATGGGAATGCCAAAGATTCACAGTGAGAATTGGAGGAGAGAAGATCCTCAGTGCCAATGACCACATGCCACATTTCTTACATGCCACCACTGCTTAAATTTTATCATTATTATGACTCTTTGCAGATTTCTGTGTTTCAGGGCTGCAGAGCGCGTCTCAAACCCTCTCTCTGCCCTCTTGATATTTTCATCCATCCACCTGCAAAGAACCTCAGTTTTGCTTTGCTGTGCTGCTGTTACAGCCATGGATGTCGGAGGTTGCAGGAGCAGGCACGCATACAGGCAGTATCTTTATTTAACTGGCATAGTGCAGGGAGAAAGACACATTTGTGACCACATAAACCCTTTGGGTCAGAAACAGAAACTTTTAAGCTACATGCAAGCCAGGCAGAACTGTTGTCTTACAATAAAATAATCATACAGTTGGAAAGAAAGGGTAGCGGAGACACAAGACCAGCCAGGGGAGAGGGACTGGGGATGGAGATGTGCATTCTGACTCAATCACGCCAACATATCATACGGAGATTCCCAACACCCGCTTTGGCACAAGTGATAACCTCCAGGTCTTCTACCCAACTTCTGGGTATACGCAACTCTTTTGCCCAGCAAATGGTTCTCCTCAGTGACTTGTTTTCCTCCTTCTACACACTCCTTTTCTCTCCCCGCTTTGGTTATGAGTGAGCAGAAGACACGCTGGTGTTACGAGTACGATACAGAGACAACCTGATGCAATACACCAAGATTCATCCCCAGGCTCACACTAGATGAAGGTGCATACTGGGTCTGACCCTGCCATCCTCACAGTCTCAGGGGACAAAAACTTCAGGAAAAGCTAAACCGCAGGTTGACCCAGGGCTTTAGATAACCAAAGAGATCTCCCAAAAAAATCAGTTTTCTGGGACATGAGTACAAAATAAGGTCAGACATACAAACCACACTAAACCCACACTCTGTGAATATTCAAAAAAACCATCTCCCACAATCCAAACCAACCTACACCACAGTAAAGGGGCTGGGCTCCCAGTCTGAACTTAGACTTGGCCTTTGCAGATATCTCAAAACCATGGAGACCCTAAAGTTTGCCTTGATCTCATGTGTCCTCCCAAAGGAGATGTGCTTCCAGGCCAGCCACGCCAGCACAGCCAGGAGGACACAGCTCTTGGACCTGCCGATGCGGCATACCTGGCCAGGGGCCCCGGGAAGGCCTGTAGCTCCTTCAGCTCTTTCGTGTCATGAAGGATTACCTAAAAAACAAGAGCAAATTCAGCAGCTAGACTCCAGCAATCAGGCCAGTCCCAGCTGGGCTGGCTGAAAGTCAGTGCCTTGGCCAAGGGTTTAACAGTGCTGGTGAAGCCATTCTCTGTGCTGTCTTAAGATAACCCCAGAGCATAGACCCCAGACCATCACATGGACCTCAGTACTAAGGTCCAGGAAAGAAATGCCTGTTAAGATGGCTTCTGCCTCCTTTGGGAGGCAAAATAGGAGACTGAAACACTGTGGTAGACTCAGGGGTCTGTGTATTGGAGCACCTCTGAAAGGTGAGCAGCAGAATTATCCTTCAGAGAGGTATGGACCACATCTGTCCCTATCAGAAGGGATCACTGAACAGGTCACAGATGACAAGGGTTATGGAGCTGAAGGAGAAGAATGTGGGGCCCAAAGGCTGAAAGCAATGCCCAGGCACAGGCTGGCACGATGCAGACTCAAGAGTCCATGGGGGCTGGAGATAAGATGGCAGCAGGGGACACGAAGGCTGCTAAGGAGGCTGTTTGAGTGACAAACGGTGTTTGCATCTCAGGGCAAGAGACAGCAAGGGGACCGAGGGCAGTCTGGGGTGCCGGGCTATGGCATACCTCCAGGCTGTGTAGCTCGACATGGGCTAGCTGTCCCTCAGCAGGGCAGTGGGGACACACCAGCACCAGCTGGCCTCCGGCTCCGAAGCACACCGCCACGTGCGGCAGCGAGAACTTGAGGGGTACCACCGGGGCCGGGGTGGACACCAAGGGCCGCCCTGCAACGACACACAGGCCACTGTGAGTCCCCTCACCCTGACCCCACATCACCTCCACTATGGAGGACATAACCAGGTCCCAACCTGGCCCCCCAACCTAAGTAACCCTCCACTGACAACCCCCC